AAAGAGTGTATAGCATAGAGAGATGAGAGGGGCTGGGGAGAGCAACTGGGACGTGGTAGTAGTCTATCTAATACTTAATGGACTTTCAGGAGAAGAGCAGGCTTAGTTTGATCTGCTTAAGGGATGGATGTCTGAAGGAGCAAGGGATACTGCAAATGGTATGGGATATTCTGAATATTTAGCTGGCATGGCTACCCTGCTCATGAGAGATAGCTCAGCTCAGTGGCACGGTGACTCATAACAGATGAGTGCTGATAAAGCTCTGACACCGCCCCACCTCATTGTCTATTGTGTTGCATCTTTGATGGCATCATCACAACAGTAATAACGATCTTTCCAACACTGCAGGGGCATCCATGGAGTGGCAGCATCAAGCAGGTCACTGTGCACAGGCCCTGTGGTCTCCCTGGGGACTTGTCACTCTTCACATATATGAAGAAATATGGACAGAAAAAGATGCTCCACTGCGAAAGAGGGGGGTTGACTATCTGGAATATACTGGAATATACATACTTGTTCCAGGGAGAAAGGCAGAGGAGTTAATATGGGAAGGTCAGGCAGGTCTCAAAGGGCATTTCAGAAGGCAGCTATCAGGTTCTGCGGGAGTGTCCTCCATCCCCCAGTGCTGTGTTAAGCTACAGGCAGTTACCAAGTTCTTAAACAGTTTTATCGACAAGGTTTTATATTGGGGCATAACTGCACAGGTGATGGATTTGCAAAGAGAAAAATAGCTGAGCATAGCTGGAATTTCAGGCATAAGTTTTCAAACATTTCTTATAATATTTTGTTTTTTCATAGATATAAGGGCAGAGAACCTGGGAGCCCAAGTCCTGTCAACTAGGCTGAGATTCCTCAGTGCCTGAGTCATTTCTGCAGCAAGGACTTTAAAGTTCGATGCATTGGCCCCTTTCAGTGCTGCCCATTGAGGAATCAGAGCAGGATCTTCAGCCTCTGGTCCTGATGACCCAGCAGATATGAGACCCCTTGTTCGAATGGGACAAAATGTCCCAAACCAGGGTGATTGATTAGAAAAGCAATTCTGCACTTTGTAGAAAATTAGTAAAGGAGATTATATAGGAAGAAGAACAGCACTGGAGTTTTCTAAAACATTTGAAGAGGAGGAATGGGTTGTGTGTGCGGATAAGAGGTGAATGCAAACCTGCAGACTTTTCCTTTGCTGGTGCTGGTAAACAACAGGTCAAGGAGAAAATAGCATCAACTAGTAAGCAGGTATTGCCACTTCTGTTTGGTGTGATGGCAGTCACAGCACACAAACACCAGGCTTTTGACTTCAGTGGGAGGAAGGAAGCAGAGAGATGTTTGAAGACAGTTTTATATAGGCACCATCTCCTTTTAATCATTGATTTCACTAGATAGTCACTGATAATGACCCGAGTTCAGGGCTGCCTCAGTCTGTGTGGAAAGTGGTTTGAGAACCATAATATGAGTTTTTCCTTCTCCTTTTTATAAGATTTATTGACATAGATGTGAGGCCAAGAATTTAATTTGTAAAATGTTTGGATTTGGTGGCAGGAAAAAATGATTGCATTTCCTTGAGCTCTTCCAGGCAAAACTATATTCTGACCAAACTTGAACCAAAAAAAAAAAAAAAAAAAAAAGGCTACAGATAGATTTATTCATTTATCTATTTGCTTTGCTAGCAGCTCTTATATAGTCTAATGCTAAAGGCGCCTTTATTCTTGCCTGCAAAAATCCTGAGGCTCTCCAGGGAAGGTGAGCTGAGGTTTGTCTGTCGAGTGCTTCGTAACAAAAGCTACAGGCTTGCAACATGGATAATGATGCATAGATAATCTTCGGCAGCGTAGGTTCAAAGCTGATGTGTTTGTCCCTCTAACCTTCCCACTATTCCCTGTTGCTTGACACCATCTGATTACCAGAGACAGGGCCCATACACTTCTCTTTAGAGCGGCTCCTACCCTACACTTCCATAAATTGTAGATGTCAATTAAAATTACTCTGGTTATAGCAGCTGGAGATTCAGCTATGCAAACGAGCATCTTGTGGCTCGAAGCTGGTAGACATAATCCCCATGGGTATGGCTGCATCATATGTGGGGCTTTCCCAAAGCTGGTATTTTATTTGGCAGTCCTCCCTCACAAATCCACTTGCAGAATGAAATCATTGCCAAGGCAACATCCTGAAGGTAGCACTGAATGTGCTTCAGATGGATCAGAGGTTCAGACCCAAGTCTGTTTCTGATGAAGCAAAGATGTCTCCTAAATACACAAACACACACACAGAGTTTTTGCTGAGAGCAGCAGACTTTCATGCATTTTCTTCATAACTTCTCCTATCAGTGTCTGAACTTGCTTTGATAGCCATCAGCTGCCAGTGTGCAACAGTCTCGTTGCCAACATTAACCAAGACAGAGCTGGGGACAGGAACTGGCTTCCTCCCCGCCTCGCCGTTGTGCCACTGCCTGTTTGTGTCCCCTCGGGCAGGTCCTGTCCCCATTTCACACTGC